TCCGGAACATGGAAACTCCAGTGCCAAAGTCAGGACAGTCCTGGCCAACCAGGAAGGTTGGTCGCTCTGGGTCTGGAAGTAATGGCACTAAGGAATGGGATGAGAAAGGGATGAAGGTGGTTGGGGCATGGAGGGGGCCTCATTACAGAGCAGGATTAGGGTGGTGAAGGGGCCTGAAACCTGGACATCAAGGAAGGAGGAGGGTGGCAAGACCAGGGGTGGAGTGGGAGCCCATGGGGAAGACAGCTGCCTTAAATACTTGAAGAATGCTAGCTGGGCTTATTCTCATTGTGCCAAAAGGAAAACACGGGCCCAAGGATAGGAAGGCGGAAGGAGATGGTTTCAGCTGGGAGAAAGGAGGAATTTTGTGACAGTCAGCCCGTCCAATCATAGCGTGTGTGTTTTCCCTTGCTGCCTGTCTCTCCCTCCCCATATGTGCGAGGGAGCTGAGTCAAGAGACTGGAGAGAAATTCTGTCACCTCGTGTGCCGAAGAAAGGGAGGCTAAGCCAAAAAGATCAATCTAACCTCAAAAAATAAAGAGCCAGGGAGTGGTGGAAGGAGAGGAAAGCCGGGAGGGCGGAATGTGGGTGAGGGAGCCGGGGTCTCTGTGAAAGGTTCCTGGGCAGCTGGAGAGTCTGAGAGAATTAGGGAGGCGAGGAAGCCGGCCTTACAGAGTCAACCCCCTGGATGTCTTCAAGAGACACAACCAGAGGTTGGAATTCTCTCTTCTTCATGCCTTCTGGAACCTTCTGGAGAATGGAGAGATGCTATTACCCACTTGCACATGATGATCTGTCGTTGTGTCCAGCTAGTCACAGCTACTGTTCTAAAGATGAATTCAATTAAACCAATTTTCACTCGTTTTATAATGCCTGGGGATCTTTGAAACAGGAGGAGGAGGGAGTTTTTCAAAATTTTGAGTTAGCCTCATGCATATAGAAAATTTACAAAATTTCATTTGAGGTCCCCAACTTAAAGTTCTGACTCTAACCACAGCGTTCTAGACACAGCCTTATTCTTACCAACATTTCTAAGTAAAAGTGAAAAACGATGACAAAACTCTGCTCAGAATACAGCCTGGGCAGAAATATATTAAAATGGTAATGGTGGTTGCTTGGGGAGGTGAAGATGTAAGAAATATAATTTTGTTTCCATGTTTCTGTGCTTTCCACGTGTTTAACAATGAGATACGTTGTTTGTATAATGAAACAATTTCTAAGAGCAGTATAGAGACATTGTAGCAACTATTACAGAGATCACTAATGTTCACTGCTGGAAAAATTACACCTTCTAGATATTTCCTGACAATCTTCATTGTCTGAGGGCTCCTGTCATACAATTTCTTTTTTTTTTTCAGTTTCCAGAACAGTGAACATGCTATTTTGCTGCAGGTCAGATACAGGAAATGCTGAAATGACCCCAAATTGACCAGCACCAACCCTTGCTCAGTAAAAGGAAAGGAGAACGCACAGTACTGTGGACCTAATGAGATTGTCCCCATCAATGAAATGGCTCTAAGTAGCTCCAAACTAACTTCCAGTGGAATTGGCTTTTCTCGAGTGACTTTAAAAATGTCACAAAATTCTTCGACAGGGGCGTGATTCATTTCGCCAGAATGGACAGCGTGGGGATGACAGAGGCCTCCTGTTCACCTGTTCTACCAAATTGGGAGCTTGAAGGACAGGGTAACCCAGCCAGTCCGGGCTCTCATCCTCCAGCCAACCTCCCAGGGGGGACTGCAGAGAGGATGTCAGAGTGGCCGTTTGCTAACCACTGTCTCAGAAAAGTATGTGGGAGGAGAAATGCAAATCATCTCAGCCTCTTTTACAGAACCTGAAAAGGCCTAAACCGATAAAAAGACCAAAGGAGACTGACTTATTTTCTTGCATTTTCATTTAATTACACACATGACAGTGATTTTTAGATTTACTAAAATATCTGTTTATCTGTCAGAAAGAAATCTGAAAGCCACACATCCTTTTTAATGTTGGGGCCTCGAGTCAAACAACTTTGATGTTAGATAAAGCCACAAATAAAATCTAAATCTGTGAAGATATCGTCACCTCAGTTCCTAATGGCACTCACCATGCATGACAGGGGAGAGAGGCAGAGCAAAGGGCCTGGGGCTTCCACTGATTCATTGCATTCCTCAGTGACCCAGATTCAGGGCTTCATTTTCAGTCTGCCTAATGGGAACAGCCAGGCTGATTTATAAAGGTGCTACCGAAATGAGAAAGAATGATGTTGTGATAATGTGCCGATGGTCGCAGGCTGCTCCCCCCACCTCCACCCCGCCCCGACCCTTCCCGGTAGTCACAGCAGGCAGCTGCTAAGATGGTTTCGGATAGAAAAGGGGTCCTGCTCATCTCTGTGCCATGTTTAGAAGGCAAACACAACAGCAGCAGCAACAACCGCCTGCCGTGCATTCACTGATCCCTTTGGATCGAGGCCGTCTACGCCCAGAAGAGGGGTTTCCAAGCATACGATGCCTATGAATCACCTGGCCAAGGGGTTAAAATGCAGATTCTGACTGAAGCCTGGGAGGGACCTGAGATCCTGCAATTCTTCATACTACCGTGAGCAGGAAGGATCTAGAAGGCCCTAGTAAGTGCACATAATTTGTAACTTATTAAGCTCATCGTCCCTTCTCCCCCAGAATTTCAGATGGTTGGGTACAGCAAGTAGAAAGGGAGGGCCTGGGAGCATGAAAGGCACTGGAAAGGGAAATGCAGGAGGCTGCCAGAGTGGCCTGCTCCCTCCCCCAAGTCCAGGTAACCCTGTGCCCACTGCTATGGGCGACCCTGAACTGCGCCTGGGCTATTTGCTGGCTGAGGCTCTGCAGAGCCCAGAACCACGTCCACAGTGCCCAATGGGGCCCCTCTCTTGGTTCTGGGTGGCCGCCTCCCTCCTTGCAGCCTCCGCTCCTTGTCTTAACATCTCTCCCTCTATTTTATTCCTTGCCTTCTTCCTCATCCTGCCTCCACTTTTCCATCTTTCTTCTTTCTTTGTGCCGTTTTCTCTTTCTTGGTGTATCCAAATCCTCACTCTACTCCCAAAACAGGAAACATTTTAAAAAGCAAAAAGGCATGTATTTATTCTACAGACACCTAATCGTCTCTGATATGGAATCCTCTTTAGATTTTAAACCTCGCCTGGCTGGCCTTTCCATCCTCCGAGCTCTGAACAATGCACTGGATATCTAGGAACACAGCAATGTCTAATTAATCTTCTTCCTGGGGAAGGTTATTCTGAATTAACTTTCAACTGAGATGCTTCACTAGCATTTTGACGCCTGACTAATGAAACTCTTGCTCAAATGCATCTTCTGGTAAAATCACAGTTGTCCAGTCCATCCTCAAATGCCTTTCTTTGGTGGTCACCACTGTGGGCATGAGCTTTGCTTCTCTGCAACCGAGCACCAAATTCCAAGCAGAAATGGTTCAAACACTTGGGACTATTTGCTCCTGCATTAAGTAGCCCCAGGTTAAGTATATTGAGTTGTCCTATCCGTATTTTGGGGTCTCCCACCCTAACTTTTGCTGGAAGCCCATCCTCTCTCATGCCTCCTTACTCCCAGTGTCTGACTCCAGCAGATGACCTTCCCACTTTTAACCTTTTGCTTCTAATAAGCTCTGGGCTGGGAAACCAAACTGCCCTGCTTATCAGAACTGCACCTAAAATAAATGTCAGTGTGTCTGAATGTGCACCTGAGGGGCTCCCCTGGGAGAGAGGCTCACAAGCCGTAAGGCATGAGCTTTGTGGTATCTATTTTGGCAGCAGAGTCCTGTTCATTTCCTCTTTCTCAGTTTGTCTTAGAGAGTTGAGATTATTAGATAAAAAAAAAAAAAAACCTCCAGGTAAATGAGGGCTTAGAAGTTTTAAGACATTTAATAAGAGAAGATATAAAGCAAGATTAAAACTGATGCCTCTAATATGGTCATATAAATGCGTTCATGGTATTTTTAAAATGCTATAAATACATTAACCCACAACACAGTGAAACTGATTGCCACCTATTTGTCACTTTCACTTGGAAGATGATGTTATCACGAGAACTTCTTCCCATGAGTTACAACATGAATTCTCTTGAACTAGACGCATAAGTATATCCACACATGGATGCGTGTTCACATACGGGTTTGTATCTTCTGCTGCGCTGGCTCCAGGCTCACCCGCTGTTTCCTCCCATTTTATCACCCCTGTTCATCAGCACCCTGTCTCTCTCTTCTCTGTCCATATGGGGCTGGAACCTGCTCCATTCTCCACCCCTAGACCACATCCCTGCTCTTCTAGGTCAATTTCCATCTCCCCTCACCCAGTTGACTCCCTCTGTGCTTCATCCATGTTTGGATCCACCCAGAACCCCTTATTCTGGAACACAGGTACAGCCCTGCAGCGTGCACGCAAGTCACATTAGGGAACCTGTGTTTTGGGCTTGTAGAATCTGTGTTTCTCCTTTATAGTTACGGCTCATAGAGATGACTGCTCTTTCAAAGGTGGCTATGGTTTATCAGGATCTTTGGAAATGTTACTACAGTTCTTTCACAAGTGCTACATGTGTACACGTCTACATGGTGTACACTGTACATAAGGCCACAGGTAACTTGAAGATTATATTTAATGTCTTTGTGAGACAGAAAGAGCACAGACTCTGGAATCAGAAAAATCTGGACTCGAATACCTCCATTGTCACACACAGACGGACTTCATCTCTCTAACTCTTTAATCACACCTACCTCCCAGGATGTTGTTGGAATTACATAAAATAACACACATGAAGTCTCTAGAATAGTGTGTAGCACCTAACAGACTCGACAAAAGTTCGCATGTCTTCTCTCTCCCGTGGCATGACTAACGGAGTCTAAACACATAAGCATCGAATCAATGTCTGACTTGATCATACAAACTGCGATATTCTTTTACCTTTAAAGCATAAAGTGGTTATTAAGACAACAGAGATACAATAGTTTCTAAATTCCGAGACAAAACAAAAACTTACCGACAAAGAAGGAGCGTTTCCTTCCACAAATGAGCAGCCACCGAGTTTGTCTCTTAAATTTCAGATTTCTTAAATCTTTAGATTTCTCTTCACCAGTGCAAACACGCTGGCCTTCTTCTTACTGATTAAAGCAGTACAGATGCCGTGCTACTTAAAGGATTCCTGGCCTTTGCACGTCCTTGCTCAGCTATCATCTCAACTGAGTACTCTCTCATTCTTTACCCACACGCGGGGCGCTGTGGTGAACTGCCTTACCACAAGTTTTATTCTTCCAACACATACTTCAGATCGTATAAAGGTAACAAATAAGGTGGAGGAAGGAAGGCAAGTTTATGCAACTAGGTCACTTGATAATTTCAATTTTAGATACAAATTTTTTTTTTGTTTCAGAATTATTAGTCTGTGGAATGTTTTTCGATTCTTCTTGGAAACTCCAAATCAATTAGAATGATTGTAAAGTTCTCTGAAAAGCTCCACACACGACCTAATGAACTTTATAATCAACTACCCACGTTCCTATTCTTAAAAGAATAAAAAGCCCAAAAAAACCTATATGACTTATGCTTTTGTAGGTAAAGATGTAATGAAGACAGAATTAGCATGTCACACATATTGTAGGTCTGTGATCGGCTCCAAAAGGAGACATGACCTAGTTGTAGAGCGGACGTGTCACCCTCAAAAGATTCATGTGGCTTCATTAACCATCTTCTACAACATGTGCCCATTAAGTCATAACCTGAACTGCTTAAGGACAGCAAAACCCTGAATCTCCATATCCCTGGAGCGATTGTGAGCATTCCGTTTGGGAATAGCCCTGTGATTTGAGGGGGACTCTGGGTTACCCTCTCCACCTAGGTCTAAAATAAGCATTTGTCAAGTTACAAATTTCCCCACGTAAAGTACCAAATTGGCCCTTGATATGAAACCCCAAAGACTGCTGGGCGAGTAGTGAGAATATACATCTCTGGTCTGTCCCAACTGTCTCCTTTTTCCAGTGATTATAAATAGTACTGTTAATGTTAATTAACACTTGTGTAATACAAATTAGAAAGTACTTTTCATGTTTATCATTTCATTTAATCTTGACAGTTTTGGTAAACTGTTCTACAGATGGAAAAGTTTTACGGATGGGAAGAAACTTGCATGTCCAGATGTTAAGTAATTTACCCAAGAGTGTATAAATCAGGGGTAGTGGATTCGACAAATAAGACCTAGGTCTTCTAAGTCCTCTTTGCTCCGTGTCACAATTCATTTGTTCCTACAGCAAACACTTGCTATGTGTTCGGCCCTTTTCTAGGCAAAAGGGTTACAGCAGTGTATAAAACAGATAAAATCCTTGACCTCCTGGGCTTCACATCCCAGTCCTGGGAGCTGGACAATAAACAAAATAAATAAAAAGATATATAATATGGTAGATGGTGATAAGTGCCATGAAGAAAAATCAAGCCGGAAATCAGGTAGGGAATGCTGAGGCAATTTTAAGTAGAATGAACAGAGAAGGTTTTGCCAACAAGGCAACATCTAATTAGAGCCCCGAGGGAGGCGTGGGAATGAGCCATGTCTTTATCTGGGGGAGGAGCATTTCAGGATGAAGCAACAGCAAGGGCAGTGTCCCTGATGCAGACATCTGCCTAACATGTTCAAGACCAGTGTGGCTGAAGTGAGCCAGGGGGAAGGCAAAAGGGATTAAGGTCAAATAGGTGATAGGAGACAGGTCGTGGGGTCTTACAGCTCATCATAATGACTTCACCTTCTCCTCAGGGTAAGATGGGAAGCTAGTAGAAGGTTTTGAGTAACATTATCTGACTTGCGTTTTAAAGAGATTACCCTAGTGGCCATGCTAAAAGTATACTGGGGGGACCTGAGTAGAATTAGGAAGACCATCCCAGTAAGATATGAAGGGTCTATTTTGGAAATAAAATCAACAGGATTTGCTGAAAGACAGGATATGGGGTTTGAGAAAAAGAGAAGCACAAGAGATGCATCCTAGATGTTTGACCTGAATGATGGAAGGATGGGGTTCATTAAATAAAGTGTGAAATACTGCAGAAGAAGCAGGTTGGGGGTAGAGAAGGATATCAGGAAGTTAGTTAGGAACTTGAGAAGTTAGAGATACCTATTAGACTATCCCAGTGGAGATATAAATATGTAGTTGCTTATTTGAATATGAAGTTCAGAAGGGAGCACTGGGCTGGAGATGTAAATTTAGGAGTCATCAGCTTATGAGTGGGCCAGATCACCAAGGGGGTGGGTATAGATGGACAAGAGAAGAGGTCCAGGATCTGAGATCTGGAGGCCAAGGGCAAAAGCATTTCAAGGAGAGAATAATCAGTCATGGCAATACTGCTGGAGATCAAGCAATGCCAAACTGGAAAAATTGACCATTAGATTTAGCAACATGCAAATCATTTCAACCTTGATGTAGTTTTTTGTTGAGTGGTATAGGAAAAGAAACCTGACTGGAAGAGAGTTGAAGATAGGAGGGAATATGAGTGTTTATTTCAGGGAGTGTGCAAAAGGGGAAAGAGAAACAGCCAGCAGCTAGAGATGACACAAGAGTCCAAAAATGTTTTGTTAAGATGGGAGAGATGAGACATTTGCATATTGGTGGGAATGACCCAGTGAAGAAGAAAATGTTGACTCTACGAGAAAGAGAAAGAAGTGATTGTTTGCCATCCTTGAGTAGACCAAAGAGGCTGGGAGGCAGTGCCCAGCAAGGACCTGGACTGTGTCAGGAGCGGGGTGGTTCTCCCACAGTTGTAGGCTCAAAGGCAGCATCCTTGGGCACAGAAGCCAGTAGACAGGTGGGTGTGGTGGTGGTGCTATGCAGGTTCTTTTCTGATTGTTCCTGTGTTCTCATTGAGATAATAAAACAGGTCATCAGCTGAGAATGAAGATGCAAAAAGTGTTGTCAGAACTTTGAGGAGAGAGGGAAAGGAATGAAACAGCCATGAAGGGGAGATGGTAGAGAATTATATAACCACCAGGCAACAATAGGTGAGCAACCACGAATTTAAAGAGAGACCAGACACCACCATTGTTTGTTATCTTTTTCTAGACAAATTCAGTTATGTAGGTGCAAGAGCTGAGTAGGAGGAGAGCTGAATTCAACCCGAGCTGTGGTTTAGCCAACTGAGTAAGACAGAGAGGGGGCCAGCGGGTTGAGAGTGTGTGCAATAAAAGTATTATATTGCCTTCTAACCACTCCACTCCAGAATATTCTAGTGGTGGCCCAAAAACAGATTAGCTGAAAAGAAGCATAATGATCACCATCTGGTTTCAGACACAGGGTCTGTTCAACCCAGTTTCGTCTCTGATTTTGGCACTAAGGAAAACACTGCGATGGGGTGTAATTCTCCTCCTTGGTGTCAAGTACAAATTCAACAACATTACTAATCAAAACCCTTGCTTCCTCTAAAAATCAATGATGGTTTTTAACATCCAAAACATTTAAATCTTTTTTTTTTTAATTAATTTTGCCCCTGCCAGTTCTTAGGGCAATTAATTGTTGAATTTTGCTATCATCTATAAAAGCAACGTTTTCTTTTTTTTTACCCTAACTTACTTTTCCTGTACATCTAATACATTCTAAAAATCTGATATTTAGCAAGCAAGCCCATGCATAGTATAGCAATATCCTTGATAATAATTATTGCTGTATCAGGCTGTTCATACTATAGAAAAATTTCAGAAAAGTAAAAATGCTATTTAAGCAACAGCTAACTGATATTGCTTGTGCCTTCTTGGGTAGGACAATAAACAATGTAAGTATTCTTGGGTTATCTGTCCTCATTGATAAGGATACTTGCTATTGGGTGCTCTGGACATCAAATCTAGGCCCAGAGACCAATCTGGGCAGGGGTTTGGAAGACATTACTCTGCACATTAAAATAACATAAATTTCGGGGCAGAAATTTCTAATATTTAATTTTAGGTCATCCTGGCCTTTTCTTTGATGTAGCCAGCTCTCCAATAAATCCAAACCTTAAGTAAAATCCTGTCGCATATGTTAGACATATGTTAGAGGTGCTTTAGAGGTAAGAAGAAAAGAGACACTCTTCAGAATTAAGACCTAAAGTGAAAGGAGAAGAGTGGTCAGGGAAGAGAGACGTCAGAAACCAAGAGACATCAGCGGAGTGAGTGGCATGGCCAGGATATCTGCCATCCCTGAGCATTTTCCTAGAGTTCTGTCTTGCAGGGGTTCATGTTACTCTAACAGCTTTTGGCATACTACAAAGAAGTGTGAAGTTGGGAGGTGATTTTGAGTTCTTCTCCATCAGGTTGGGTTACTTGACTTCTTACCATCTGGAATAGTTCAGTCACCTGAGCACATGGAAAAGTATAGCACTGGTCAAAGCATAGCCCCTCAGACATAATGATGCTGGTTCTCTGCCTTGACGCACTGATTGCTGAGAAGACCGAGAAGCAGAAAGTTGAATGGCTTTGAAAAGACATCCATGGGTCAGAGGAAGGGAAACAAGTCTTCCAATGTCAAAGGGGCCCACATCCTCATAGATGTTCCTGTGGAGCCGGGTGTCTGGCCTCGAAATGCCTTACCACTGAGAAGAAGGCTCCACTCTATCTAGGCTTCTTCAGATTTTGAAGCAACGTATGGGACTATCTTATTCCAAACCATTTCCTGGGTGACCTGAAAAGATGCCAGCTCTCAGTGGGCCTGAGACAAGACAAGACTTCCAGGGTGGCCCAGGCTGGAGGGGCAGCCGTCGTCCACGGTGTATTTGCTGCCACTGCCGTTCTAGCTGTGGGAGACAGCTTTTGGTCTCCCTTCTCTCTTTCCCTGCAAGCACGGAATGAACCCTTTCTAGATTCCCAAAGTATGATGAAGACCAGTCCTTAAACAAGATCTTACTGATGGTTTTGGAATAATAAAAGAAGCTACAATCCATGCGGGACCTCAGCTTCCTATTAGAAGTGACCTCCATCTTCATGTCTCCAGAGGTGAGTTCAGGGGACCCACAGAGGACCTCTTTGCTCACCTCCTAGGTGGTCCCCTGGCTGCCATCTTACTGGGCAAGGCACCAGTCACTCCCACTGGAAGTGGAGTCAGTCAGCCTCAGAGCCCAAGTCCCAGCTCCAGAGGCACCATGGGAAGAGGACGTTCACACATCCCCCAGCCCAGCAACCTCCTCTGGGGCCCTGAGTTCTTGTTCCAAGATCTGCTCTTTTCCACGACAATTAACAGGGAGAATTTCTACTGCCTTCAGAAACCATGGGCATCACCAC